TGTACTGTACTTTTCATACCAATTAATTCAAATACAATAACAAAAAGCAAGCCGCCCTAAGAGATTCAAACAACTATTTATACTAGCTTACACTACAACCCAACAATCCTAGTTACATTCTAACTTCATTGATCACTCCAAACAATAAAAAGCCACATTCTAATCATGGGACAAAATAACATTAAAGCTCAAAAACCAAAGCAAAATACTAAGGACTAAATAATTAATGAAAAACAAAACAACTCTGAAACTAAGTAAGAAACTTCAGCATTGACGACGCATCACTAGGTAATTCTGCATTTTTGTTAACTCTAAATGTTGAAATGGCAACTGTAATGAAAGCTTGTAGCAAGGACGCAGAAAGAAAAATGAAATGGTGAAAACTTAACACCGCCAGGATTTTCTGTTGGATTTTGTGATTTTTGCTGGTAAATAAAGGGACTAATTATAGAATGCTGGACAATCAAGAGAGGAATGAAGCGTAAAAGAAAAAAAGCAGCATGCATTTATATATTGGACTTAAGATTAAGAATAAACGTGCACCATTTTGAGAAAATATTCTTGCTATTACAGTAAAACTAGAGCAAACACTTGATTGCTAATCCATTTATAGTTAAACATGGCCATAGCCAACTAGCACAACTAGAATTTAACATCATTGCAAGATATGATATTACTAAACCATTAATTTTAAATCTGGCCTTATATCTAGTTCCACAGCTAAACAGCTCCTGTATGTTTGAAACCTTCATTAGTAAATTATAAGTGATTTAAAACACGAACCCTTTTCTCACCCTAATGAAATGCCTTCACCTAATGAGTTCACTTTTTCAATTCCAATTGCCAATAGGGTCAGTACGAGCTGCTCAACAAGAATAAAAGGGATGGATAAGAAAAGTATAAGCAAGAAGAATTTGGTAGCCAAATGTGCATATAGATAACGTTATACTTCATTCTGCCTCAATTTAATTACAGTCAACCTTGAAAAGGAAAATCCTTATTTGTGCCTATGGTAATGTTACTTTGTCCTGCCTCAACATAATTCCTCTCGGCTTCAAAGAGGAAAAAACCTTAAATGTGCCAATGAGCAAAGTTAAGTCATCCTGCCTCAACTTAATTACTCTTGGATTCCAAATGGAAAAACTTTATATAACTCCCATTTGATCCCCAATTCACTTGTCATCAGGTGGGAACTGAGAACTTCAGTCTTTAAGATGCATCTCATGCAAACAGTTGGACCTAAACTGTTTTCTATAGTAGCTAGCACATAATCCTGATTTTTGTGTGCTTCAACAGAAAGAACCCTTTCAATCATAAGAGAGAAAAACTGTTCTACATTTTAACCTATCAATTGTGGAAAAGAATATACAATATATGGAAAGTCAAGAAGATTAGCACGAGGTAAAATTCAGAGAAGTGATTGAGAAAATAACGATTCCAAACAGAGAGAGATGTTTGCAAACAAGAATTGCCAGCAAACAAAATTTACAATACAAATCTAGCTTGCAAATACTAGTATAAAATGGTAGGCTGCTGTAGCTGTACATCAAAGCAATTATTAGTTTTGAGAATGGCTAACCTACCTTGCTTTCTTGCCTATAACTTAAATCAACATAAAGCTCAATCAACAGCCGCCGCATGGCTCCCCTCCTTCGCAATTATCACAGGGTCCACCTCGCTTAGGATCTATCAAGATAAAAAAGAAGAAAGAAATAGAAAAGCATAATCAACCAGCAGGTACAAATCATTCTAAGAGCACTTATTACTTTTCTTTAGCTATGAGCAATATATGTAAGACATGACAGATCAATTGAAGAAGGTGCTTAAGTTCCAAATACGTTTGAGACAGATCAGAGACCCCTAAAAAACATATGGCCTCATACCCACTATTTCTTACCTTAGCATGAATAGGACAAGATCATAATGAAAATCTATGTTATATTATCTAGTTCAAAATCCTTTCATCTCATAATCACCAATACAGGAAATCATAATAACTAATCCAAAATCATACCAATTTACCTTTGCCAATATAATAACTATCGCCCTTCTTCCTAATCATTTGAACCTCAGGGATCACGCCGCTGTCCTTGGTGTAACGAGTAAAAACCTTGGCCTGATAGCATTGAATTGAACCATCTTTGGCATCCTTGGCTTCAAAGGTAAGGAAAAACAACTCACCACGAGGAGAAATTCGAAACTGTGAGTTAAGCTTCAAAAGCTTCACAAACTCCAGATCCAGATTGCAAATCTGGATCAACAAAGCACAACAACAACAAAACAAAAAAAAAGGTAAATAATCTTTGAAAAATAAATAAATAGAACGGTAAGAGAAGAGAATTAAACCTCTGGCTTTTTGTAAAGGTTATGGAACTTGATGGCCTCCCTCGCAAGTTCATCACATTCCTGACGCCGTTTAGCTGACATTTTGTTCATGTCAACAACACCAAAGAGAGACATTACGTCTTCAGGCAGCTTGGCATCCACATCAAAGCCCTATGAAATCAGGTATATAATAATGTCAGCTAGAAAATATTTGAAGACTAACATGTAAGAAAAAGAGAGAGAAAAAACTCACATCACTCTCAGCTAACTGATTGTGAAACCGAACATATTCGGCATCGGAATCATAGTCTGATGAATCAGATTTGTTTTGCTTGGGGCTAGAGCTACCGTCATCTATTTTCAATTTCTTTTGCCTGAAATTTAGGGTCAAAGTTAGAGTTAGAGAATAGACATGAAGATCCTACTTTACAATACAATACCAAATATGAGCTGCTAAGAAAGCCACGAGCCCGACACACACCCAGAAACACAAACAATCATCCTTGGATCAAAATATATAGTAGTACAAAAAAGAGGATAGATTTTCACGAAACAAAAGGAAGGGTTTCGATTCGAGTTAACATACTCTGGATCCTCGAAATCAGCAGCGCTCACAACACGTTTCTCCAGCGTACCCATCTGCTCTAGGGTTTGTTTCAACTTCTACGACTTCTTGTGAATGGTATGGGGTGCCTTGCGTCGTGTGTGCCTCCTTTTATATTTAAAATTAATAATTATTACGTAATAATTAATAATAGCGCAGAGATTTTCCGAATAAAAAAATAAAATAATAGCGCAGGGTTTTGCGAGTGGGCCGGGGAGAGATGAAAATCCCAGTCCCACACAACCCAACCCAAAAAGGGTCTCAACTGATTAAAACACCCTTTAATTTATATAATTTATTATTAGATATATTAAAAAATAAAAGGTAAAAAAATGTACTTTTAGTTAAATTGGAGTGCATTTAAATAAAATTTAATAAAAAAAAAAGAGGAAAAGAGAATGAGAGAAAAAATTAGTCCTAATTTTGTATTAAAAAATAAAAGGTAAAAAAATGTACTTTTAGTTAAATTGGAGTGCATTTAAATAAAATTTAATAAAAAAAAAGAAGGAAAAGAGAATGAGAGAAAAAATTAGTCCTAATTTTGTTTGAATAAATTAAAGGCATAACAAAGGAATTTCTACTACGTAAATAATAATAATAATAATAATAAGCGAGCAATCTAAGAGCTTGTTTAGTGCAGTTTTTAGGAGCTTCATCTTTTCGATACTATTCATATTTCATAAATTTAAATTTTCCTCTTAAAAACTTACATTTTTAAATTTTTTTTAACCTTAAAAAGATCTTAAACAATAAAAGATCAAAAATTTCAAATTCAAACTTTTTACAAACCCTTTTTTTACTCATTTTTTACTCACTTTTTCCTATCTCTAAAAGCAATTTTAAAATTTTTCCTCCAATAAAAATTTAAATTTATCACTCATGAATAGTACAAAAAAAACAAAAGCTCCAACAAGTTCCACTAAACAGGCCCTAATACGTACTTTATATGCTATGACTAATAACTTCCTTACAACACATAGTAACCCAAAAAATGAATAAACTGAAAAGAAAATAGTTTAATAAAATGTGAATATCTTACTGCCCTTATCTCTTGCGTAGTAGTTATACTGTTGTAACACCTTAGCAGCTCAAACCAAATGGTAGTCCTTTAATTAGCTTGGATAATATCAAACCTACCATGCATCAAGCACAAAAGAAATAAGACCATCAGCACCTATCACCTCCTTCTTTCCTTGGCCCTTCCTGCATCAACAACCATCGAATCAAACTCCTTCCTCTATAGCTTTTTTTTTTTTATCAGCTCCTTCCTCTATAGCTATTATTTGCTTGCCCCTATTTAGCCCATTTTTAGCCGAGCTACTATCACTTCTCCTTCTTCCACCAATCTCCAGACCTCTCACCCTACCACCAAACACAGAAGCAAACGCCAGAGAAGTAAAGCCATGTGCAAAGGACTAATACCCCTTGTACTTTGATTAATAAAAATATTTTGGTTGATATAAAAAAAAATTGAGTAAATTGGGATAGTGAGTAAAATTTTTCAATTCACAAGGTAGGTGAATGAACATTCACTTGTTTGATGTTATTTATTTAAGGATTTTTTTAATTTGTATTTTTATGACATAACTTAATAGTATATTTAATATGTTTTTTAATTATTAAATTACATAAAAAATAAAGATTAACTTTAATTTTAATCAGTAATTAATTAAATAAATACATGTAACATTAATGCTCAAATTAATATCAATTTTTTAAATTTTTTATATAAAAAATATATTAATTATAACCTTAATATGAGAAAAATTATTTGTTTAATTGTTAGCTGGTGTCAAAGGGTATGGGTTAAAAAAATTATTTGTTTAATTGCTAGTTGGTGTCAACAACAATGTTATTAAACTCACGCACTCTAAACAAATAGAATAAAACTTCACTAACTGCTAGATGGTAATAGAGTATTATGAACACCCATAAAAAAATGGGTTAAAGCCAACTATAGTCCCTCTACTTTTCTTTTTCATTCATTGTCCTCTCTCTACTTTCAATTTTAATACTAGTTACCTCTCTCACCTAACGCCGTTTAACACCGTTACTAACTTACTAACACTAGTTACTAACACTAGCACCCAATTAGGTTAAAGCCAATTATAGTCCCCCTACTTTTATTTTTCATTCATTGTCCGCCCTATACTTACATTTCATTCAAAGTCCTCCCTGTAAAAATCTTGCATAGCTTATGTACTTAATTAATTAAAACAGTAACCCACAATGTATTTTCCTATGATTAATCAACTAAAATTAGGGTACATGAATTATTACATCCATGAATTATTATCACATCCTAAAGTGTGTGTTTTTTTTTTTT